CTTGCCAGGCAGGCGCTTTTGCCGCTGAGCTAAATCCCCAGCCCCTCAAGTCTTTGTTTTAACAGAAAACTTGAAATAATAGATCCAGAAATCATATTTCTTTGGATATTGAATCCAACTCTAGATTTTATCATAGCAAAATAATAAAACAATTACTTTTCTTTTTACTTTAGGAGATTTAATATGAAATAAAATTTGAAATACTGGAAAATGTATTACTTTTATAAGTTATGTTGCTTTGCATATTCCCAGGCAAATTTATCATGCTGTTGCTTGTTTAGTGCAAATAATATATTCCTCCAAATTTTATAAATATCTAAAGTTTTAAAATGTTTGAAGTTAAATTTAGTTTTAGATTTTATTCTAACAATGTATTCTGTTTTTTTCTTGCTAAAGTAACTTGTAGGAACCATTTTGATTTGAGAGTGAAAAGCTCAAATACCTATGGACCCAAAAAGAAATCTGCAAAATGTATAAAAGCTGGAAAATAGAATGGAGTCTTTTTAGTTCTGATCTTCATCTTGGGATTATTCATGTCACCTTCAAGAAATTTATGAAGGAGCCCTTACAGCATGTCTTTATTATTTTCCAGTTACACGGATTGTGGAAAATATGCTGATGACTCCCAAGTCATCAAGGAACAATGTTACTCAATTACATAATAACGTCGTTCTTTCAGTCAACAAATATTTTATTCAAAAATATTTAGTGAGACCATACTTTATACCTGGCTGTATTCCAGGCTCTGGCAATCTAGCAGTGAACAAGACAGATATCCTTCCCTATGGAGCATGTACTCTAGTATATTTTCTTGGATCAGCAAAACAACCAGAACATTTTTCAATAATTCAGTATTAAAATGCTAATATAGCCTCAAAATAAAGAAATGGATCTTCTAGCTTGTCATCTGAGTTAGTGTTATTTTATACACAATATCTAAATTGATGTCTACATTATTCCAAAACTTGCTTTTGGAAACAAATGTACCAATAAATTACTTATTAACACATCTGAAAAGCCATGGCTGAAAGGATACTCAAGAAATACGTTTAGACCGGAAAATTTCCATTTCAATTTTTGTGACTTATTACAAATCTAACTCTGAATACGTGGAAATCTTTAAGCCAATTTAAGAGCCTCAGTAGAAAATTATAGTAATGTACTGAAATATTACTCTCATAACTTAATTTTATAACCTACATGACAGAATTATTCTTTCTAAGATTCAGATTAAAGAAAATTTAATTCCTACACATATTTAAAGGATTTGTAATTATATTCTATAGAACTAAAGAGAAAAGAAATAAAAATATCAACGTGGACTTCACATGCTTGTTTTTGCAATTTTTATGAATTACTCATGCAAATGCATATTATTACAAAGTTAAGACTGGTTCAACTTCCTGTTACAGAGATAACTGTCCAGGTAGAAGGATTCTTACTATGTTACTAGACAATTGTTTTATATTGTATAACATAAAATAACTATAACTCTACACAATTCAATAATTGATCCTATTGCAAAATTCTGACTAAGGTACTGACAAACAGAATGCAGCAAATATTCAAAAATATCATACATTTTGACAAAGTAGGATCCATTTCAAGGATACAGGAATGTTTCAACATATGCAAATCAATAAATGTAATATGCCGCATAAAAAGTAGCAAGGTCAAAATTCACATGATCATGTCAATAGTTGGAGAAAAAGAATTTGACAGAATGCAATATACAGTCTATAGAAATAAAGATGTTTATCACAGTCTGATAAAGCCATCTATGAGAATTTAATGGCCAGCATCATAGTAAATTGAGAGAAACGAAAAATTTCCTCCAAAGTCAGCAAAAAAGACAAGAATGTCTGCTATGCCACTCCTGTTTAATGTAATTCTTGAAACATTAGCTAGAGTAATTAGACAAAAGAGAGGAAAAAATAAAAAAATATATGCATAGAAATGGAAGAAGTTAAATTATCTTTATTTGCAGATATAATTATCTATATGGAAGACCCTAAAAACTCCACTGAAAGACTCTAAAAACTAATGTCCTATTTTGGAATCAGACCAGGAAAAAAGTCAGCACTCAAAAATCAATAGTGTTCCTGTGAACTAATAACAAACTCACTGAGAGAGAAATTAGGGAAACATCTTTCACAACAACATCAGAAAAAAATAAAATACTTAGGAATTAACCAAACCAAGGCAGTAAAAGGCCTCTAAAATGAAAACTACAGTACTCTGAAAAAGGATATCAGAAAATGGAAATCCCTTGTTCCTGGATAGGCAGAACAAATATAATCAAAATGGTCATACTTCCAAAACTGTTATCCAGATTTAACACAGTCCCAATCAAAATACCAACAGAATTCCTTCTAGAACTAGAAAAAACAATCTTAAAATTCATATGGAACCAGAAGTTAACCAGAATAGCAAAAGCAATTCTATGCACAAGGGCAATACAGCAGGTGTCACAATCCCAGACTTTAAGTTATACTACAAAGCTACAGTTGAAAAAACACCATGGTATTGGAAAACAAAGAAACAAACAAAAAACCAGACTCATGGATCAGTGGAACAAAATAGAAAGTACAGAAACAACTCCAAGCACATTCAGCTATCTCATCTCTGACAAAGGGGCCAAATCCCTTTTCTGGAGAAAGATAATCTCTTTAACAAACAGTTCTGGGGAACATGGGTTGTCTACATGCCAGAGGTTAAATTTAGACCCATATCTCTCACCATACAGTAAATTAAAATCAAATTGAATCTAACGTTTAAGTATTAGAAGAGAAACAGTTAAACTGCTAGAAGACGAAATAGGTAAAACACTTGAAGAAGCATTGTAGGCAAAGACTTTCTAAACAGAACACTCCACAAATGGGATCATATCAAATTAAAAAGCCTTCCACATGGCAAAGGAAACCACCAACAGAATAAAAAGACATCAAAGAATGGAGAAAAAATTTGCCCAGCTACTCCTGGGATAAAAGACTAGTATCTAAAATGTATAAAGAACTCAAAAAGATGATCCCCTCCAAATAAAGATGAAATCAACAAAAGGCCATCTGAAATGGATAGAAACTTCTCAGATTGAAGAGTACAAATGGCCTATGGATACATGAGAAAATGTTTGACATTGTTGGACATTCAAAAAATGCAATTGAAAACAACACTGAAATCTCTCTCTCTCTCTCTCTCTCTCTCTCTCTCTCTCACACACACACACACACACACACACACACACACATGAATGACTATCCCTATGAAATCAACCTATAACAAATGCTGGTAAAGCTGTAAGGGAAAAAGAAATCCTTCTACATTTTTTGTGGGAGTGTAAATAGGTAAAACCACTATGGAAATCAGTGTGGAGTTTGACCCAGCTCCTTTCTTTCCGAATATTGTGCCCAAAGGGTTAAAGACGTCATACCACAGTGATGTATGTACATCTATGTGTATAGCACACAATTCATTATAGCTAAATCATGGAAGCAGCTTAAATGAACATGAAAAGATGAATGGATAAAGAAAATGTATTTATACAAAGTTGAGTACTGCTCTGTCATAAGGAAGGATAAACGTTGGCCATTTGTAGTAAAATGTATGCATCTTGAGACCATAATGTTAAGTGAAGTAAATCAAGCACACAGTTTTAAATACAGCATGGTTTCTGTTATATGAGAAACTAGATATATGATAAAGTACAATATAAAAGATAATTGAAAAAAATATACTGCAATTTAGCTTGTGCAATATGTCTAAATGTGTACTTCATATAATATAATTGTCTTCTATGTTTATTGGATTATTAGTGTGTTTATTAAGCTTTATGCATGGTAATGATAATTAACTTTATAATGGCTTATAAGATAAATAAATGAATCTAATGTTGGTCAAAAAGGGAGGAGTGGTTGGATGGGAAAGGAGGAAAAAATATTGAGATATGTTATGTACACATACCAATACATTTATTCCCCACAATAAATGTAATCATTATATACTGCAAATATGTTCTAATAAAAATTTAAAAATAGGTTATTGATGTCCAATTTGTTAATATTTAACTCATTTTCTCCCAGAAATGGTAAATATGTCATGTGATGAAAGTCAAAGTAGCCAATTTTGTTTGAGTATTGCCATGTAAAATTGTTTTATAATATATAGAAATACAAAGAAGATAAATACATTACTTAACAGATATATCATAATTCTTTTATAGGGGTGATTTAGTTAGATAACAGTAAAAGCAACTCACTAAAATTTAAAAAAAATTCATAGATTTCTAAATAGAAGGCAATCTTTAGTTGCTCTTTATATCTACAATGTTTTCCATCTAACTTTGTTGTCATAGTAACCAAAAGTCTGCTTATGAATGAATGATAAACATGTTGTAGTATTCCTCTGGAGCCTTGCCAGAATTCTTTTGTACAAGATTACTGTGGCCTTAGGTATTAATTTTAAAAAACTATTTAAAGTATTTTCAAGATTACCTTACATTTCTTGAGGGTTAAAGTACAAATTAGTTCATTGTATTGTTCATAAAATAAATATTTTATAGTTTGCATGTTGAATGGTTGAATACATTGTTAGTTTCCTTTTCATAAAAGCTTTCAAAACTTACACTTGGTGTCCTTGGTAGTGACTCATTAACAAAGTGTGAAATAAATTAATGATATCAGAAAAAATAAATAAAAATCTTTACTTAAAAAAGATTTTGTATGACTGCAGCCTCTCCCTCTGAATGAAACAAATGATTTTAAGTAGACCCAGAACAATTTATCCTTTATTTCAATTGCTTTTTAAAATTCTCTAACATACATTCCCATCTAGACATAACTGAATAATAATAGATCCAAATAAGCCTTAGACTACTTACTGTTAGAGGAAACCTGGTTCTTAAATGTCTTTTTAGGTTTTCTTTATAATCACAAGGGCAACTAAAATAAAATAAATTGACCTTACGATAGTTCATTCATATATCAAGAAGCTAAAAGCATAATTCAGAGACATTCAGTTACTAGACTGAAAGAGTATAAACATGCCATTAGAATTATAGGTGGCAGTGATTATAGAAACTTCATATCTACATATGTCCTTAATTTTGGATATTGATTTTTCATTGTCAATTACATAATTATAAACTATATTCTTAAAATATTTCAATAAAATATTCACAGCTCACCAGCTCAACTAGTAATAAACTTCAAGGTTGACTAAAAAAACTTCCCGTTTTGGTAAATCAATATCTCTTTCACGTTATTTTCTTTAAAGGATCTTTGTGAATATAGTTGATGTTAGTTTGGTAATGAAAGTAGCTGATCATAAAAATGATTTTGTTCAGAGATAGAACAGTTGAAATTATCTTGTCGTTTTACCTACCCTCCGTTCCTTGTGTCTGATTTATGAACTTTTTTTTTGGTTTTTTTCCGGTACCGGGAATTGAACTCACGACCTTGCACTTGCCAGGCAGGTGCTATGCCGCCGAGCTAAATCCGCAGCCGCCTGATTCATGAACTTTTGGCTATGAGAGTTTCCATTTTTCTCCCCTTTAAAAATAGCCATTTTACATGCATTTGTTTTCCAATGCTCTTAAGGTATTTGCAATTTCTGCATCTCTTTGTGATTGCCCCTTTACACATGGCTTATTTCCCCATGTGGCTGTGTTAAATTTTCATGCTTTGCTCTACCGCCTTGGGCCTAACATCAGCTAATATAAAAACTATGTGATTTGGTTTCTTGTATGTTAGAGAAAAATAGGAAACTTATTAGCAATGCTAGTACTTGGAACATAGAGAAAACAATTATTTTTAATGATCATTTCAAATTAATTTAAATCTATTTCAATATCTTACATTACCCACAGTTGTGTCTCATAGGACCCTTAATCTATAATGATAG